TTTCATACATGTATGGAAATAAAAATCATACGTTACATACATAAGGGTTCATACATTACATGTTTTCGTAACACCGTCCATAGCCACATCATATGACTATTTTTATAACCACACCTGTTTTTCAGTCCCAACATCAGGAAATTTTTTCTGACATGGATTTACATAATTATTACACTATTTATGTAAGTTTACAGTGGACTAAGGTTGTGGGCAAAACCTCCTTAGTAATTGTTGAAACCATGGCAAAACTATATTAAATCTTATCAAAAATCCTGTTGAAACTATGCTGAAATGGTGAAACCTCAAAATGTGAAACTCTGCTGAAACTCTAATAAACAATTATCATGTAACCCTGCTGATTGATTTCTGGAGGAGTTTTGGCAAGCACCTTACAGCAGACCCCATAATATTATGCAAAAATCATACAAGAATTATGCAAATATTACAACTTTACATATTAAAATTTATGGACATAATATTACAGCAGGGAAAATTTCCTGGTTGCTATTTTTTTGCTATTCTTTCATTTTCTATGGTATCTGCAAATTTATCTGTCTTTTCCAAAATTGGGTTTCTCCTTCCTTGAGTTTCTTTTCTCTTTTGGATTTTGGAAATAATTTATAATGAATTCAGATTCACAGTAAGTTCATAAAGAAATTTTTTCTGACACAGATTTACATAATTATTACACTATTTATGTAAGTTTATGGTGGGCCCCATAATATTATGCAAAAATCATACAAAAATTATGCAATCATTACATTGAGTGTAGTAGGGACAAAACATATTTTCTGGTGCACTTTTTTGGCACTCACATTATATTTTTTGATTTATCAACTCCAAATTTGATTCTGACCAATTCTAGAATACTTTAATAAATTTTAATGTACAATTAAAATGAATTTGCTTCATACTTTTAGAATATAACCTCTTTGCATTATTTTTAATTTAGAAGCCAAAAAACAGTAACTTTATATTTTTATATCTATATTGCATTAAAATTCCCCATAAAACTAAAATTAACTATATCACATTAATGATCCTCAAAATAAATTTAAAACCCAGATTCAATATCAAAAAAATTTCAAACACATTGTACTTTTTATAAGTATTCTAGAATACTTTCTACTCACTCAATTTATAATCATGTAGTTATCCACAAAAAATATCTGCAAATTTCATGAAACCTCAGAATATCCACAAATTTCTGTCATTTCACAAAAAAAATCCACAAATTTTTGTTATTAATTCTGATATCAATGATAATAATATTAATATATAGGTAATAATAAGAGAACATGAATAACAAAAAATTAATTCTTTTGTTTTAGATAAAATCTCATAAATGCCATGTTTTCTGGGCTCTCAATGTACTCTATCATATCATACATGAAAGTTTTTACTTGGAGAATAAAAATGTTTAATAATAAATTTACATTTAATTTGTGGATATTTTTTTGTGAAATGACAGAATTTTGTTGATATTCTAAGGTTCACAAAATTTATGGATATTTTTTGCAGATAACTACACAATGTACTCAATTTAATCAGGATCAATATTGTAATTCTTGATTCTTAAATTAACCTAAAGCCAACTCTTATATAAATATGTTTTAAATAATCTCAAATCCAAAATAAAACAAAAAAATAAGGGTACCAAAATTTATAAAGGTATTTGCTATCCAAACAATTTTTTATCATTGTTAGCAATATAGGGAAAAAATAATACCTTTTATCAAGTTATTTAAT